TCTGCTAGGTTGGACAAATGAATTTGACACTTTTTATATCAGATCACCTTAGCCTGGAATGGCCTCTCTTCCAACCTTGCCTGTCAGAGCAACTCGTTATCCCTCAAAATTCAGCACAAATGTGTCCCCTATGATGTTGTACCTTCCTGTCCAACATCTTCTTGTAAACTCTGATAGTACATGTAAATTTAAGGAAAATTAAAATGAAACAAGTTTTGGTTTCAAACAGTAATTGCTAGTTTTATTTTTTTATCCTTTAAAATGTATTATTTAAATATATGCAGCCAAATAAATGAGCTTCTACATTAACATCTTATTTCTACCAATATTCTAGAAAAAATGTATACAAGTAGCTTTATTTTAACATACTACTTTATGAGTGTAATTTAATCATCTTAACATAAGTTTTGTACATGTGCTTGTTACTTGCAAATTTTTATTCTCATAGTTTGATTTTTTAAGTACTTTGGCTTAATATAATACTTTTGTTATGAAGGAAATGATTTGTTTAATATTCTCATGTTTTATATGATCATCATACAGCTCTAGTGGTTTTATGTGATATTTTACAGATAATAAATATAACATGAGGCAGAGAAAGTTGTAATAGGGGACAGAAGGCCTGTGAATGTGAGTCACTTAGGATCATCAAGGTTGAAGAGTAGCTTTTGAAGAAATTCGGTTTGAGTGAAACAATAGTTTTGTTGTACTCTTGTTTCCAGGAAGTTTATATTCTGAGGTTCTGTTTTTTGTTTTTTGTTTTGTTTTGTTTTTTTTCTGTTTTCTAATATACATTGGCTTAAAGTTGTCCTCTTATTGTACAAGGTATGATGGGGAAGATGAGATGCATCTTGTGAGACTCTATAGAGGTCAGCACCTGTAGCAGTGTATCAGGTCACCAGACTACACATGAGATGCTTGTGATAGCATCTGGCAGTTAGACCTTGGCACAGTATCACTCACAGCGTGTCATGATAGATAAGCAGCTATCAAGTTTATCTGATGCAGAGCCTTGAGGAGTTGTTCACTGTCACCACTGAAACATTCTTGTTCATTGTAGAAGTATGTGATTGCATGGGGAAAATGATACCAGACCACCGCCCTGTCCCCCCTCCCCCTTCAGGTAGCCTAGGCCATGTGCACCAAACTGAACTAGACAGGAGGGAGGGAAGCTTAGCCAGGTGTGGGTGAGCACAGTGCAGGATCTCAGCCAGATATGTGCGAGAACAATGTACACACAGGGACAGCTTCAGAGAAATGGTTCACTTTATTGGGTGATGGGAGGGAATTTATGTCCCTGGGGAAGTGGTCAGGGTCTCTGAGGTAAGGTTTGTGTGGCCTTGTACCATTGGCCAGGGTGGTAGTGTTGCAAGATGCTTCATCTGCCTACTCAGGGGCTGTAGGGTTGGGGTTAGAACTATATAAGTATAGTCAAACAAGGAGTGCAGCCTGATGACTGTCGGGGTAATAAACTCTCACTAGGGTTGATGGTGGGGGAGCCCATTTTATGGTGCCAGGTTGTGAGGGAGGGGAGGTAGCCAACTCCTACCATCCTCATGATTTTGAGGCATCTGGGGTTGAAGCTCCCTTGACCCTCCATTTGTAACACTGGGCCATTTCAGTGAACTTTCAAAAGTTTTAGCTAATTTTTTTTTTGTTTAAAATGAGCTTTAATCTGACTTTAAGTTGTGACTTACTTGCAAGTAATATACAAAAGCATTGGTGCTGGGGAGAAAGTGATAAGAAATGAGTGGGGTTTTTTTTGTGCTCATGGGAAGAAAGTGATAACAAATGATATTTTTGTTTGTGTGTATTCATGGAAATACATAAGGCTTGTCTCTACTTGCATCTTTCTTCATCTCGTAGATAGGTGACTAATGCTAATAAACCCTGGGTGAACATATAGATCCCTTTGATATGCTTTTTTAGAGTGTAACATGGTAGACTCTACAAATGGCAAAAATTGAAGAGCAAATCATTTTATTTGGATAATAAGCAAAATTGTAAATAAATTGAGTTTTTGATGTGCCCTCTCTTCCACCATTACTAAACAATACAGAACAAAACACATTTGCAGAAGATTGCTCCTTGAAGTGTCGTTTCTAAGGATAGTTGTTAGTTAAGTGTTAGAAGCTTTGCTGAAGGTTCCTGTGATCACACAGCTATCAAGTATATTAGAGCTAGTGTTCTTCTTATGCATCAGGTTCCCAAAACTGTGTATCAGCCTATCGCACTGGTTCAGAAGAAAACTGAAAGTTGAGAACCTCATAGTGCTTGCTTATGGCACATTGAATTGAATGGGTTATACTGTGTAAGTGTTCCTATCTTCCTCCCCTCTCCTTTATTACCTACTGACATATCGATGAGTAACAAGTTTGAAAATACAGAAAAACAGAAGTTAAATCTATCCATGGCAAATACATGCAGATCTGAATTGTCTTCTATTTAAAGATACAAAACATTTTATTATGCCATTTTAATTTTGTCATATATAGAAGGCAACTATTTTTTTGAGCTGATTGTATTTGTCTTTGCATCTAAATAGTGCATATACATACTAGAGATTCCACTTGCACATTGCTGTATATGACAAGCATGTTTCAGGATAATATCTTCATGATATTATTTAATGACATTGTAACTGTATCCTTAATTCTAAAGGGGAATGCCTTTATATGTTAAAATGTTATTGAAACTTATGTTTTCAGTGCATATGTTGCATATTGGCAATGGTTTTTACATAAAACTTTTCTGAACTGTTTGTTTCCTCAGAATGACTTGTCGATAAACTCAGAATACTATGAGTATGGAGAGCATTTCAAAGCACTTCTGCAACATCAGATTAATGAATACTGAGCAGAATCAGAAATCTTTCTCATAGCTCATCACCAAAAAAGGAGAAGAAATTGTTTTTCAGAATACCCTCTTGGTCACATACTCCCACTTCTCCCATTGAGCAATCCTTTGTTTACTTTCAAATCTGCTCATTATAACACACAGGCTGGAGCAGGACAATGGAGGCCCTTTCTTTCTCCAGTCCATCTGAACTCATGCAGGAATCTGGAGAGTTTACAATAAAACTTGCACAATTTTTATATGTAAGTGGGAACTAAATTATTTTTCAAAAGAAATTAGAGATACACTTTTAGAGTAGCCAAGTGTGGTTTTTCAGAAACTGCAGCTGTATGTTCCTGTATAGTTTGTTTTTAACTTAACTTACAGCCACCATTTCCAAGTCATGGCATGTGCAGACATCTCTATTCCATGGGGGAAAATCGTATATAAAAAAACAGGCTTCTTGAGCCCTTGGTGAAGCTCAGTGGTACAGCACATGCCAGTCCTGTGAAGCCCCTGGCTGGAGTCAGAGCTGAGACAGAACAAAGCAACCCTATTCAGCAGCAGCTAGCGTTCTAGCTTCCCAAGTTCACACTGTGATCCAGAACAGTGAATGATCACATGTTGATAACCAGGTGCAACTGTTTTGGCACTTTGAAAGTTAATTTTCTTTAATTTTTTAATAGGTATTTTGGAAATACTGTATAATACTTAGAAATCAGTAAAATGCTATTCCTAGAAATGCATAAGCCAGAGTTCTTTTAAAACTACCGTCTACCAGTGATGCTTGTCATCATCATATTGCAATGGCAGAACAGAATGTCACGCACCATTTTGGCTTGTGTTGGGCCAAAGGGGTTGAAAAGTAACAAAGAATAATGCGTACAACAAGATGCTTCAGGTTCGCACTGCTCGCGCCAGATCTATGTTGTGTCTTATTTGGGCATTTTTTCCTGATGGTTTTGTTGGGTTTTTGTTTTTTGTTCTTTTTTTTTTTTTTTTTTTTTTTTTTTTTGTCTTAGACACAGCCCTTGCCCTGTAGCCTGTCCTTGCCTGGAACTCATTGGATAGCCCAGGCTGTCTCACACATACTGCAGTGCGCCTGCCTCAGCCTTCCCCATGCTGGGGTTAGAGACTAATCAGCCGTGCCCAGCATAAGTCTGGCTTTAGTCCGGCCACCCATCGTTTCTAAAGTAACCGACAGTTTCTGTGGCCCCTCAGTCCTACTCTCCAGCCTTGCTCCCCTATCGTCAGGTAGGGAAATGTCAGGACCCTGCTGAAAGCAGAAGAGATAATAAAGTGAGTCTGTATAATCCCGTTTTTATTTTCAATTTTCACATAAAAATAAAATTTATCATATTTTCTAAATGTTTATACCGATTTGTTTCTAAAACATTGAAATTTGTTTTAAAAACGTAAACCCTTGTTAGTGAATTTAGGAAGAGTGTAAACAGGGCATAGTCTTAAATGACTCATCTTTAGTTAACAGATTTAACAATATAAACCACAGCTCTACAAATACAGCTATTATTAACCATTATGTAAACCACCTGCTTTTGTTTGGCTTTATTTTAATGTACATTTGAAATCCGACAGTTTAATTTTTGCTATAAGTTCAGATCTAGTTTTTTAAAGTAGTTTGTATTGTTAGCGGGTTTTGTTTCATTTGAGTTTTATGGGTTTGTGGATCCTGTGCCTGTTAGGCTGTGGTTTCTTCTTGGCTCTCTGCTGTTAGATACACCACAGACCTAATGCACAAATCCTGCACCTGGAACCGCCCTTTACCACAGCCAGTTCTGAAACCTGCACACACAGGGATGTGACTATCCTCAGCTTGCGTTTCAGACGCGTTAGTACCACTTCCAGCCCATCACCACTCGCAATTCTGTCACCACTTGATATCTTCTACATGGCGTCAGATATGTTTTCTGGAACAGAGCCGTTACTGGGTTTGAAGTTTTCAGCATGGTCCCTATGCAGAGCAATATTCAAGGCTTTAGAAGTTGGATACACTTCGTAGCTCCCTGGCATGTCACTCTGGTGGACACACATGTCCTTATTACCAGGTGCTCCCATAAGGATAGGTATTTCATATAACTATGTGTAATAAGTCTTCTTTTATGTTATATAAGCATTCTTACCAAACACCATTTCTTTATTTCCAGTGAAAGAATTTCTAGCCAAAGCCAAAGAAGACTTTCTGAGGAAATGGGAGAACCCTCCCCCGGTAAGGAAGCTATTTGGTTATCTACAATTAGAGATGTCTGTGTTAAGTAAATCAAGATTCTTGTTAACTTAGTGCTACTCCAGAAATTTTAATTTTTAAGTGTTATTCTAATTATATACTATGATGGGAATTCCATCATAATGATGTGATTTAATTGGTAATTTTTTATTTTTATTTTTTTCACAATTTATTCATTATATATCCTGATTGAAGCCCCCTCCCTCAACTCCTCCCAGTCCACCCTCCCTCCCTCTTCCCCACCATCCCCTTTTCCTAGTCCACTGAAAGGGTGAGTTTTCCTCCTTTGCTGTCTGCCCATAGCTTATCAAGTCTCATCAGGACTTCCTGGATCCTCTTCCTCTGTAGTCTGATAAGGCCACATTGTCAGGGACAAGTGATCAAAGAGCAGGCAAGCAAGTTCATGACAGAGGTAGCCCATGCTCCCTTTATTCAGGAACCCACATGGAGACTGAGCTGCCAATCAGCCACATCTGAGCAGGGGGTGTAGGTCCTCTCCATGCATGGTCCTCAGTTGGTGCATCAGTCTCTTTAGGACTCCCTGGGATCAGATTTTTTTTTAGCTTTGTTGGTATCCTTGTGGGGCTCCTATCCCCTCCATGTCCTTCTATCCCACCCACCTCTTCTTCCATAAGACTCCCTGTGCTCTGCCCAAAGTTTGGCCCTGAGTCTCAGCATCTGCTTTGATCCTCTGTTAGGTGGAGCCTTTCAGAGGATCCTCTATAGTAGGTTCCCGTCCTGTTTCCTCTCTTCCACTGCTTCTGGTATCTATCCTGTTTGCCATTCTCAGTGAGAACTAAGCATCCTCCCTAGGGTTCTCCTCAGTGTTTAGCTTCTTCAGGTCTGTAGATTTTAGTATGGTTGTCCTATATTATATGACTAATATCTGCTTATAAGTGAGTATATACCATGTGTGTCTATCTGTTTCTGGGTTACCTCATTCAGGGTGATCTCTTCTAGTTCCATCTATTTATCTGCAAATTTCATGATTTTCTTGATTTTAATATCTGAGTAGTATTCCATTGTGTAAATGTACCACAATTTCTGTATCCATTCCTCCCTTGAGGAACATCTGGGTTGTTTCCAGATTCTGGCTATTACAAATAAAGCTGCAATGAACATAGTTGAGCAAATGCCCTTGTTGAATGGTGGGGCATCTTTTGGATATATGCCCAGGAGTGGTATAGCTGTATCTTGAAGTAGTGTTATTCCCAATTTTTTTAGAGAGCGCCAGATTGATTTCCAAAGTGGTTGTACAATTGGAGAAGCAAGCAGCTTCTCGTAGAATCCCTAAATGGCAGAAGGAATCTTGTTGTTTTGTTTCTTGATACAGCCTGGGAATTGAACATAGGGCCTCATGTATCCAAGACAGGTTCTCTACCAGCAAGCTGTATGCCAAGACTGTTGTAAATTTTGATACTAATTCCAGATTGCTATAATATAAGATTAATAGTTTTTGAAATCTTGTTAGTTGACAGTTTGTCTCATGAAACATTAAAAAGGAGGCAAGGGAGAGAGCATACTTGTATTATATGAAGAAAAGCAATGCTCAGACACAAAGAGATGTCCTGTTGTACACTGTTCCCACTACTTGAGTGTGACGGTATTAGTTGTTGCAATCCACCTATGTCAGTAAAAGCAAAAATCAGATGTAAAACCACAAAGCTAATTCAATCAGAATTATAGGGACTTATTTTCTTTTGATAAAAATCCCCCTAAATGTGAAAAGACCACACAATGTTAAACACTTGATAAGTAAAATATAATACTGCTTTCCTCCTGTAATGACCCATTAGGAAACTAGGCTGTCTCTCCAGCGTGTGCTTTACTGTGGAGTGTTAGACCACTGTCCGCGTTCCTGCACTGTCTAGAGCTGTCGTGTACAGAAGGACCATATCACAGCAGGCTTTGCTCAAGCTCAACTCTGCACATTGAGCCTTGCAAGTTTTTTTCTGAGATTTTCATGGGTGTCTTCAGAATGAAACCTACTGAACAGATGGGTCAGCAATTACTGCTTGTTGCTAGCACATAATTTATTCCTAGTATCTTTTGTTTTGTTGTGGCAGCAACAAGACTAGATTGATGCCTCTCATTCTTTGCTTCTATGCACTAGTCAAAGTCAAACAAAGATGTTTGTTTAACAAAACATCTATTCAAGGAGGAAAAGAATCTGATTATTGTTCTGAGACTCTAGCTTTGGTTCTCTGTGGAATGTAGACTTGTCTTCGCTTCTTGTTTTAGGTAATGCTGAGTTATTTCAGCATCAAGGAGAAAGTCAGGGACCCTACCCGGTTCTGAGCCCATTATCCAGCTTTATGACTGTTACCAAGTCCTAAGACGGTTATCTGGTTTTACAGCTGCTCTATGTTTCTGTGACTATTGTTTACTCTATGGCTGATGTTTGGTTGCTCAGCTATCGTTTAGTTCTGTGGGTGTTGTCTAGTTCTATAACTACCTGTAAAAACACAACACCCTTTCCTCAAAGGTATGAAGAAAACTGATCTCTCAGTTTTAATTTTGTACAATAATTCACAGGTATTCTCTGGCCATATATGTTATTTGACTATGGGTTTGTAATTCTTAAAATATATAAATAGTTCATTAGCTGTGTTCAGATTTAACATTGGAATTGAAATATGATCATTAATATTTTAACCAAGACTTTTATTTCCTTTGTTATTTTTATATACTCCGTTTTACAAAACTATTATCTACTATTGGACTTTTGTTAATCAAAGGGGACTATAGAATGAATAATGTGAAATTAAGAGTGTATATATAATGTTTCTACATGGATAGCTACAAATTAAATTGTCCACTCTGATTATATAACACTGAAGTAATAATTGTAGTCTTGTAGAAATTTCTAATTTAAAAGTTTATTGTTTTTTAATGCTTGTATAGAGTAATGCTGGCCTCGAGGATTTTGAAAGGAAAAAAACCCTTGGAACAGGTTCCTTCGGAAGAGTCATGCTGGTGAAGCACAAAGCCACTGAGCAGTACTACGCCATGAAGATCCTAGACAAGCAGAAGGTTGGTGTCCCTGTGGCCTGCCCGTTCGCTGTTGTTGCATTTATATTGTTTACTATTACTATCTGGTGTGTGGTTAATGTAGGTTTTAGTATATGGGGACATGTCATTTCTATAGTTATCTGCTAGAACATGTCTGTGCACACTAACAGTAAATACAGATTTTCATGTGTGCAGAACAAGCACCCTTCCTGCTGCACATCCAGGTTGATGAATGGGAACTTTGTAACTTTAGCTCATGTCCCATTTTAGTTTATAGTAGAAACTGCCTTGCTCGGCATGACTGGGTTTGGTCCATTTAAAATACCAGTTAAATCATGGAAAAATTGTAAAATCTATATTCTGTATAACAGAACTTTTTCATTGTCTCTGTATCAATATAATAAATCAGTTGTCTGAAACATTAATACTTTATATACTAAGCGTTTTCTGTTTTTCTCCCAATCACTAAGAATATAGGGAAAGACAATGGTAAATACTACCCATTACTTAGTTGTTACTTTACAGAGACTGGCTTCTTGGCCTCCTGGGATCCAAGTAGGAAACTGGTGGCAGCATAGTGGGGAAGTATCCTGGGGACAGGCGTGATGCAGTAACTTTCCCATGGGAATGTGTGCCAGGGGACAGATGTGGAGTAACTTTGTCCTGTGGTGATACAAAGTAGCTGTACTGTAGCTCTACATTACCCAATAGCCACATTTTAAGAAATAAAAAGTAGATTTTAAAGGCTGATTTGTTTAATAGCCCAGTGCTTAATGTTTAACAAATATAAAATTATTGTGTTTCATACTAAGTTTTCAAAATCTGTTGTGTATTTTACATTTCGATTAGCCACTTTTGTGTTAATTAGTAACCACACATGTTGGACACCATAGCATCGGACTATTTAACTTTCATTTTAATTGAAACTAGATTAATTTCTTACATGAAAAGGAGATAATGGCTTAAGTCTTTCCAAAATTGAAAGTGATTATAGACACATTCAGTTGAACACCTCTGTCAGCTACCCTCATTCACCCATTTCCCAGCCGGTCTTCATAAGCACTTCCTGTCCTAACCCCACTGTCTAGCTGTTCCTTCCCTTCCCCTCTCACTGCTCTTGCTGCATGTCTCTGCCAAGGGTCTCTCTGCTCATCGCTGGCTTTGTCTGGAGCATGTGATTGGGATAGCCATACCTCCTGACGTGGTCCTGCCCCAGCCCCTGGAAATGTGTTCTCCTGATCCTGCCCCTCCACCTGTGGGTATTCCTTTTGCTGCTTTTCCTGTCTCATTTTGTTTCTCCCATGTTCTTGAAGGAATGCTTCTTTCCAAGCTCTAGACTCTGACTCTCTGTCTCTCTCGCACTCTCACTCCCACTCCCTCTGTGTGTGTCTGTCTGTCTATCTGTGTTTCTATCTGTCTCTCTGTCCTCTTACTTTGCTAATTCGCATTCTCTTTCTATAAATATGTTCTTATCCAACAACCTCAACCCTTCCTCAGGCTTTTTGTTCCTAAGCTGACAGTCTGACCATGGAGATTTTCCGGGCCATTTAATTCCTGTCTTCATTCTGTCCATGAGCTTACGGATCTCAAAGGGAGTTAGCAACTTGCCTGCTCATGCTGGTAACAAAAAGACAAGAGGCTTCAGTTGTGTTCTTTATTTGTAAACTACCTTCTAGTGTATGTTATATTTTGTAAACAGTTTATGAAGTGCTTTACTTCAAAATATTAAAAAGATAAAGATATTTACCATCTCCAGCTTTAAAATATTTGGGAAGACACTTTTAGCATCTCCTTTTCATACTCTAGAACCCTGTTAAGTAATTTATCAAGGTGATTACCCCGTGGATAAATCATGGTAAGGTATATTTTACAGAAAAATAACTGCAGTTTGATATCATTTCTGCTACTGCAGTACACTGGGTCTTGGCATAAATTAGTATAAGAGACTTTATATTCTGATTTTTGTTTATTTAATTTGATTGAGATATGTAATAGAATAACAGGCCATAATAACCCCCTGTCTGCCAGTAAATTCTTATAAATCGCTCAATTAGGTAAGCTTCTCCAGTCTTAGTGTACATGGAATGAAGGGGGAAAAAATCAATACAGAAATTAAGGCGATCACATTACTTTTTTCTACAGTGTGTCAGATATTGCTAGGATATATACACACATGAGCACAGGCAAACATATACTTACACATGTGAAAATGTACACATATGTACACACATACACGCACACATAACAGACATGCGTCTGTTGCATCAGTAAGTCTTCATATCTGTATGTGGCATTGATCTTCCTGTTTAAGCCAACCACTGCACTATATAATCACTCCTGTGTCCGACAGCCAGTAAGTTAGGCCACTATGCTGGCCAAGGTTTATCTGATTTACATGCCTTTTTTTTCCCTTCAAAATGTACCCTTATTATCCCCAGGACTCTTTCTGCCAGTCCCTTGTTTGATGCTCCAGCTAGATTTTTGTAGTGACACATGACTCCTAAAACTCCAGCCTCTTTCCTTCTCCCTTTCTTCCTCTCAGACAAAATGTTTTCCATGTTGTACCATAGCATTTCTTTGACTCATCTGAAAGCATGTGACATTTATTAAGTGCAGTGAGTTTAGCTTGTATCCTCCTACTTCCAAACCTGTCATAACTGTCTCCCAAACTTCACTGGAACCTAACCTCACAACGTGCATACACAGTCTCTCTGTCTATGTCTCTGGCCTGAAAGCTAACTTAAGAAAAGAGTACATGATTTCCTGTGGGGAGGGGATGCTGGAGGGCCGGTCTCGTTTATTCATAACTCTTCTAACGTTTCACTTGAATGAACCAGATGTGATTAGTCAGTGCCCTTAAACACATGTATTAAGCTAATATAAATATTAAAAGTAAATGTTAGTTTTGTATGAATTTTGAAGATAAAATATGAACTGTGTCCCAAGGGATATTTGTAAAGTGTTCTCTGACTTGTTCTTTACCAAATTTTCAGAAGCGCCATCCTTAACCATAGCCAAATGCAGCCACCACTCTTGCTTGTCGTTGTGTGTTTCCTCCTTTGGGACTGATTCCAGGGGCTAACCTGGGCCAGGCTTCTCTGCCTTCTCTCTTGAGCCTTTATTATCTTTCTTTTAAAATTATCTCAGCTCTTACCTTTTTAAATAAGCCATAGTAACAGCTGGCATTTTTTGAGCTGTTACTGTGCCAGGCAGTAAATGAGCCACGTGACTTCCATTGTGTCACATGACATGTTAAAGATCAGAATTCTAGGGATGACGATTCTGTTCAGCATCACATAAGCAGTTTCTGTGCTGACAGCTTATGACATCATAGTTCTCACTTGCCGGCCGCTCATACATTGCTATTTATATATTCATGCATCCTTCAAGTAGGCAGCGTTTTCTTAGCCTGTCACTTCACCATCTTTTACAGTTTATATGGAGAGATGAGTAGAATTAACAATAAATTCAGTTTCGTTAATTTTTTAAACATTTACATTAAAAATTAGCTAAGCATATATGCCTTACCAGTTTATATATCAATATTAATTCAGATAAACGTCTGCTTTATTCATAATATATATATATATATATATACATATATATATATATATATATATATATAGTTGGCTTAAGTTAATGATGCAGAAAAACATCTTTCTTGTGGCTTTTATTACTTCATGAGCCAACACAAATTTTATACCTAATTAAAAACCTGCTGTATCATAAAAAATGAAGCACAAAGATAAATTCTCCAGGTGGTGTTAGTTAAGTGACTTATTAGATAATTATATGCTACCTGATTCTATAACTAGTTAATGTGTCGACCATAGTGGCCTAACGACTTCATTGTGTGGCTTTGAAAACTGAAGAGTTGAAGTAGCATTACAGAAGTCTCAAAGCTGGTTACATGGAAAGTCTAGGCTAGAACACACATCTTCTGGCACCGAGTCAGTTATTCCTGGCTCAGTGTTGTTCCCTGCTCATCTTCCGTCAGTCTCTGGCTGGTCAGCACCCTCGAGTCCAGGCCACTGGCTTCTGTGGCTGTCTCCCCTCGGCAAGCGTCTGGCCAGAAGAAATCCACCCCACCCATGTGCACATCCACATGGCTGCTCTCTCCACCACCCCAAGACCTTCTGCTCCTAAACCCAAAACAGTGTCCCCTGTAGAATGAAACCTCTGTCCCCACGAGGTCACAGTTGTTTCCCTTTCTGTGTGACCAATCCAGGAAATGTTTATTGTAAGGATCATATTTTTCCATTTTCTGCTCTGTGGATATGTAAATTGAATTTTTAAATTTTAACTATTTCTTCAAGTACAGTTTGAACAGATTATTCACTTCCTCCCCACTTTTTCAGTTTTTTTACTTTTTCTTGATCTTTAATCACCTGCTACTTATTGAGGTAATAAGTGATTTGATCAAGTCATTAGCAGCAAATATTTTCACATAACTTTTAAAGAAATTTTATACGTCTATTTTTGTTCCCATTTAACTCTTTATTTCTTAACTTGATAAATAGTTTACTTTTTTTGAGACAGTATCTCACTATGTAGTCTAGGCTAGCCCTGAATTTTTGGTGCACTTTCTGATTCTGCCTCCCATGTGTTAGGATAGTGGACGTGCCTCACCACCACCACCGCCGGAACACACTCGATCTGAAGGGCAAGGCTACAACTCTGCTGGGCTCAAAACATTTGACTCTTACTAGCCTGGTTGACTGTTATTAATTCCTTCATTGAAGTCTAATAATTCTGCTCATCACTGTGATTATTAGATGGAAGACATTTTAAAAATGAGAACAGCTTTTAAGTTTATTTAAATATACAAATATCTCTGTCTTTTGAGTGCAGGTCGTTAAGCTGAAGCAAATAGAGCACACTCTGAATGAAAAGCGGATCCTGCAGGCGGTGGAATTCCCGTTTCTTGTTCGGCTGGAGTACTCTTTTAAGGTCAGTTGTACCACTGTCTAAGGAAGACATTTCCACTCAGATATGCTGTTGACATAGGAAGAGGTAGTAGAATTCAGGTGAGATGACGAAACTAGAGAATGGACATGAGCAAAAATGAAATGGCGTCAGATTCTATGTAAGTAGTGCCATTGTGCTTGTGAGCTTCAGCAGCAGAGTTCCTTGGAGCACTGTTGAGGAGACCTGTGTGATGTTTCCTGGACGGCAACACAAAACCAGCTATCCCCATGCTGCGTGGACTGACATCTTACCAGTCAGTCTTGTGCTTGCTCAAATGAAGATGCTGTCTGCTTTCCACAGAGCGTAAACCCTACCTGTTAGGACAGCGTTTCTATTCACCTAGTAATCTGTACTCTGGGCTTTTGTGGTTTTGTTGTTGCTGCTGTTTTCTTGCTAACCAGGGAGAGCAACCTCTGTGCCACTGTTCCTGAGTCAGATAAAGTGGGGAGGGTGATCCTTTAAACCCAAGCCTCGCTGGCTCTGTAGAATGCACTGCTGAACCATCGGCAGTGTTTTGATTTTATTTAGTGCTTTGTTCTTTAAATCTAATAAAGCCCAAAATATGCTTAAAATATGAAAGCCATTCATCGTGCAAACATAAAATGTAAATATTCTTATTAGCTTTCCAAATTGTTTTTTAACTTTGTTATTCGTTTGCATGTGCTGTGCTAGTATGTCATGGCTGAAGTATTTAATTATTCTGAAGTTAAATGTCCCTTGCAAGAACAGGAATGTCAGAACTCTCAGGCTTCTCTGTGGCTGGAATCCTAAGGGGTTAGAGAAGAGTATGGAAGAACTAGAGCACTTTGTACTCAGTGTCTCCCCCCTCAATTTTATTGATGTGTCAAATGGTCTTGGACTTGGCCCTTTCTAACTGAATGTAGAGTCATCTTAAAATGTTTTTTAACCGATATTTTATAATGTGTGATATTTTAATTGATATTTTAAGTGTGTAATCTATAGTATTATTTGTTATTTGTTTATAGGATAATTCTAATTTATACATGGTTATGGAATATGTTCCTGGGGGTGAAATGTTTTCACATCTAAGAAGAATTGGAAGGTTCAGGTAACTAGTGCTCATGTCTTCCTTCCTTGAGTTTTCACATGCTTGTCTTCACTTTAAGCCAAAAATACATTTGATTTAATTAACCCATGTTTTATCCATATAAAGTGTTAGGTGGATACATTAATAGGAGGCCATACCATACATGAACTTTAAAATTCAAATGAGAGTACTATGAAACCAATTTAAATATTCTTCAACTGGTAAGTATTGTGAGATGACTTGAAGAATTTCTAAAAAACATAAAAATTAAATTTAAAAAAACAGTATGTATTGAAAAATACATAGTACTTAATAATAGTATTTAATAGTATATAAATATTATATATTAAATATTTGTATTAAATGTTAAATATTATATATTAAATATTATTTAATAATATATAAATAATACATATAATATTAATAGTAAATAATAGTATTTAAGACTATATGCTTTGTGATTTATGATAATATTTAATGAGCATCTGCCATCCTGGGTCTGCTTTTCCCCTTGGGGTGTCCAGACACACTGTGCACCAGGCTGGAGGGCAGGAAGCTTAGCTGGACTACTGGGTACAGACGGGATCTCAGTACCCGTCTGTAGTGTGGGGGAAACAGCCTTCTCCAGAGACAGTGTTCAGTGAAACAGCTCTTTTATTAGGGGCATGAGAGCTGTATAAACCTTGAGGAGTGGGAAGTGGTTTTCAGGGTGAGGATACATTATTGGGTGGGGTCCAGGTTCTGGGAATGCTTCATTTGCATGAAGAGGAATTCCAGTGCTTGCTGGACATATCCTTAGAAGGAGAGAGGAAGTTTAACCTGAAACCTGGCCACCAGGCTACATGACCAACTCAAGGGTGGCAAAGGTGGGACTGGGTGGCAAGGATATGTGCACTGGGATATGCAGCCCCACAGCAGGGAGGAAGCTGTCCTATACCTGCCAGTCTCAGAACAAGTGCTTTGGGGTTTGGACACCTAACTCTTACTTCAAAGTAGCTCTGGTGATCACACAGCTCTCTGTCTCCACAAGCATTTACAACAGAAATATAAATAAGAATGAATATAAGGAAGGAGGTATAAAAATAATAGTGCTATGGTGAGGAGATTTTATTATAGCATCTTTTTAGGATTTAATTAAAGCTTTTCTTATCTTGAGCTCCTTAACTATATACATAATTTGAATTTGTAATGTGTCAGGTTATTACTCATATACCTCCATTATCTGTGTACAGGCACATAGCTATGACTGCAAATTAGTAATCTTTCATAAAATGAATCTAGAATTAAGACCAGAATCAGTTTCACTCAGTATTCAGGATTCAGTTAATACCTAAGTGTGAGTTTAGTTAAACCTAAGTGCAAAGTGCAAGTTCCCATGGGACTGATGACTCAGTATAGGGTGATGGTGGAGTTCGATTACCACAAGAGAATAATGCATAAGCAACCGTTAGTTATTTGAGTTGCCTGAGGCCTAAGCAAGATTCATTTATTAATCTTTAGTACAAAGGAAACCTAACATGTCTGAAGGCTGTGTAGTGAAACATGGCTTTTATTTGACTTTGATTTTCTTTTACTTCCTGTCTTTACCTCTTTCCTATCACCCTAAGTAGACCCAGAATCTTCATGTTTCCCTGTAGATATCCCATGCTTACACAGAAATGCCACACCCAAACCTGTCCTTAAAATGCATTGCCTCCTTTGCTACAACCACATTTCTTTGCTTTGCAGCTACCCACCTATTTCTTTTAACACCCTACATGGTGCTATAAGGAAAGCAAGCTGACTAAAGTGATTCAGTGTGATGTATCTTTCCTGAACTCTTACATTTGCTATATGCAAACTATCAGCATGGTTTATTCTTACCGGGGAATGCCAGAGGATATAAGTAATTGCTCCGTGTGGCTTTCTTCAGTCTGTTCAGCCACTTGAGTCCCACCACCCAATGCCAAGTTGCATTCTGGATATTCTCTCACATTTCAGCAGTTTGATTACAGGCTGATATACTCTATAGTTCTTCCGCCAAGCATTGGCTTGTGTAAACAATAAATGCAACACTGAGAAGATCTCATACTATAAAGGGGATGTCCAGATCAAAGTCTCATAGCTGCTGAGGTTTCATGCCCCAAAACCTGGTGGAGTCTCCCAATATCTATTCCAGAGCCCTCTCATTCTTTACGGCAGTGTTGGGACCTGTTTGAAACTTGGGGGGTCCCAAGATATCACTGCTAAAAGCTTATTCCTGAAGTCAACCAGTGTTTATTGGCCACCTGAAGTGAGTGTGGCAAGGACCTAGGGAATGTACTAATGGACACAAAGAACAGCGTGTGTCCAGTTCTTTTTACGTACTTTTGATTTTGGTGCCATCCCTTGTGGGAAATCATATTAATAACTGAAGTTGTTAAAGACACAAAGCTGAAAGTCATAAAAGTTTAGCAGGCAAATTAGCAAACATCTAATGAATGTACTTGAAAATTAACTAGAAATTCCAGTTAGAAATTTGGCTTAACACTTTTGAAATAATACTAAGACTGTAGCATGAAAATTACACTGATATGTCAAAGTTTCTATCCATATGGCCTATGTACAAGAACCTGACCTGGTTTTTACAAACATACAGATCTTACATATGTGACTTTAAACATGCAAGAGATTTGGAAATTCACGACAAGATTGCTTGTATATTTCTAGATGGGATTGTGTGTATTCTTACCAGCACTTTATATGATGGCTTTCTTTGGTGAGCGTCTGTCAGTCACTTTAGCAGTAGGGACTACCTCAGAATAGGTGAAAGAGTGTTCATCTTCAGATGAATGCAATTAAGCAGTTCTGTGTGATGAAACGCTTTAAGCCCTTGGACTGTGTGAGAGAAGTGAATGGAGCCTATCAACTGGTAATACTGTAATGCTGTCTCTTCTAGACCATAGAGTGGCACCTTTGCTTTTCCATCCATTCCAAGGACAGCTGTACTTATAATGACATCACCATCTCCCAGTTTGGACAGTGATGATTTGCAATAAGATAACTATTTTAAGGTTGTGTTTTCCCTCCCACATATACCGTATATTTATAGTTACATAAAGGTAATATGTCCCGTAAATGAACAGGAGTATCATTTGAAAGCAATTGATATTTGGAAAATGACACATTCTTCACCAACATTTGAATGGAAAATATCTCTCCCCAAACACCTCCACTTCCTTTGGGCCTAGTCTAGCATTCACTAGTGAATGTCCATTACCCATTTCACAGAACAGCACCATTCTCTTTTCCAGTGAACCCCATGCTCGTTTCTATGCAGCTCAGATCGTGCTAACATTTGAGTACCTCCATTCCCTCGACCTCATCTACAGAGATCTCAAGCCTGAAAACCTCCTAATCGACCACCAGGGCTACATCCAGGTAGGAAATAAACACGTGACATGCACGCATTTTGGAAACACTGAGAGACAGCTTCACACATTTTACCCCAACTATCAGTGTTTGTTTGTTTTCTTTCCTTTTTTGTTGTTTGTTTATTTGAAGGAGAAATTTGACTTTATCTAAAAGGCTTACAGTGAAAAGGCTTATCTAAAGACTTTATCTAAAAGGCTTACAGTGGGAGCTGGGTGGTGGTGGCATACACCTTTAGCCCCAGCACTGGGGAGGAAGAAGCAGGCCTGTCTAGAAAGCAAACTCCAGGACAGAAGGACAGACAGGGCTACACAGAGAAACCCTGCCTAAAAGAGAAGTGGTGGGGGTGGGGGAAACTCCACTGCAGGATGAGTTCACAGTTCTGTCATTACAAATAAGTAAATACCACATCAAGGAAGAAGCCTATTTGAGTCTCCTAGAATCAGTGATTGTGAACTCAGCTTAGGCTCCTTGAAAAAAAAAAAAAAGGCAATAATAGCTAAATGTGTGTAATGTATGAGTAGTCATGAGTGCCAGGAATCCCTGTGTGTACAGGTTGAGCACCCCTTAATCTTAAAAAATAAAAAAGATCTCAATCTGAAGTTTGTTTGTATATTGATATGACACTACGAACGGAAAATTCCTCAGGTGAGTTCATGTGATGGGTGTGTCAGATCGCAAGTACACTAAGGTGGCGTGGAATCCTCCAGGCTGTGACTGTAAGGCGCCTGTGTCTGTGGAGTTCTGTGTCTGTGTCTGTCTTGCCAGGCTCTCACTGAAAAACCTGGAAAAATCCAAACCCTGGAACACTTTTGGGCCCAAGTATTTTGGATTAGGGATACTCCACCTACATTGCCTCTTTTAATACTGATAACCCTGTGAATTGTAAATATTCCTAGTGTCACCATTTTAAAGTTATGGAGACTCAGCCATGGCAAGGGACATATCCAGTAACGGAAGAATTAGAGTTTTAACCCAGAAAATCTAGCTCCAGAGTCCAGGCCCATTACCACTCAAATACGTGGCTGGCTAAGACCTAACTGCACACACAGTGGTTAGAGGCTGTGTCACCTCTCAAGTTCTTTTAGGAGCATAAGGCCAGGGTTTTCTGTGGCTTACCTGTCAGAGGAGTATCCATAGAGGGTTTTCCCTAGATACCCTTCATGGCCAGAGATACATTAGATGTAGGAATATTTCATCAGTGCTTACTTTGTATTAAAACTGTTGCTTTCATCAAAAATAAGGAAATCATGAAATTTGCAGGCAAATGGTGGGAACTAGAAAAGATCATACTGAGTGAGGTATCCCAGAAGCAGAAAGACACACATGGTGTATACTCACTTATAAGTGGATATTAAACATAATATAGGATAAACATACTAACGTCTGTACACCTAAAGAAGCTAATCAAGAAGGAAGACCCTGGGTAAGATGATCAGTCCTCACTCAGAAAGGCAAACAGGACGGACATGGGAAGAAGGAGAAAACAGGGAACAGGACAGGAGCCTAACACAGAGGGCCTCTGAAAGACTCTATCCAGCAGAGTATTAAAGCAGATACTGAGACTCATAGCCAAACTTTGGGCAGAGTGCAAGGAATCATATGAAAGAAGGGGGAGATAGAAAGACCTGGAAGGGACAGGAGCTTCACAAGGGGAGCAACAGAACCAAAAAATATGGGCCCAGCGGTCTTTTCTGAGACTGATACTCCAACCAAGGACCATGCATGGAGATAACCTAGAACCCCTGCACAGATGTAGCCCATGGCAGCTCAATCTCCAAGTGGGTGTCCTAGTAAGGGGAACAGGGACTGTCTCTGACATGAACTGATTGGCCTGCACTTGGATCACCTCTCCCTGAGGGGGGAGCAGCCTCACCAGGCCACAGAGGAAGATATTCCACCAAGTCCTGATGAGACCTGATAGGCTAGGGTCAGAGGGAAGGGGAGGAGGACATCCCCTATCAGTGGACTGGGGGAGGAGCACTGGTGGAGATGGGGGGGGGGGATTAGAAAGGTATGAGGGAGGGGGCTACGGCTGGGATACAAAGTGAATAAACTGTAATTAATATAAATAAATAAATAAATAAATAAATAGAATAAAAACTTGCTTTCACTCTTCATTCTCATGCTTTAAGTTACTTAGGTCTAGAACCTGTCACTCTAGATTTGTTTATTTGTTAGGAGAAGAGAAGGGGTTTCCAGCATGTCTGTTCTAACCTTCATTCACTAAATAGTTGCCTTCCTGACTTTTTTTCACGTATTTTACTTTAATTCTGTACTTTGAATTTAAGTACAGGTCATCTGTTCTCTGGGAGGAATCACTTTTTACATTTCTGTTTGCTTTCACAGGTCACAGACTTCGGGTTTGCCAAAAGAGTCAAGGGCAGGACTTGGACACTGTGCGGCACGCCAGAGTACCTGGCGCCGGAGATCATCCTCAGCAAGGTATGGGTGCTGTTGGTACACATGGGCAGGAGCTCTGTGCACTTCTAACAAAGCACATCCTTGGCAGAAGCTCGCACCGGCAGAGCCAGTCACAAATCACTAACTTGTGTTAGTTTCTACTCTGGGTCCTAAGGACAGATTAATGACCTGACCCCCATTTTGAAGCTCCAAGCAGTCATGATTCTTCCCTAGCAGGCCAGTGGAGAAGGCTTGTTCTGGGCCCCTCTAAGATTCATATGTAGAGACAAGACAGGTGAGTTGTCATCTCTCCACTTCAGACTTACCACCTAGGTAAGGGAAAGTTTGAAATTTATTATTAATTATAGCTTAATAATATAGCAATTAAACCCTTTTAGCCTTGCTGAAGGCTAGCCTACTTTCCAAATGGTACACAGTGGTGCTAAAACATATACATTTACTGAAACAAATATAGCCATACTTAGAATATTTCCACTTCTTCCTTGCCTTCTCTGGATGGAGAAAGTGTGAAAGGAAACGGAAAGACCAAGCTCAGAAAGAAGCAAATAAGGAGGAGAAATGACACAAGCCTACAGGACTATAGAGGACTATAGTGTAATTAAGTGAATAATTAAAAGCTTAGAGCTTTTTTGCTATTGTTCATAAGGTAGCTTTTTCAGTCTTTATATTCTAACTAATTAATCTTTAAGTATTACTATCACTGGTAACTACACATTTCTTCTTTTCATGCACTTAATAAATAATATGACCACAAACTAAGTGTGAACACTTACACACATGTATACATGAATACACTGAAATGCTCATTCTTCAAAATTTGGAGAGGATAGAACACTAAAGAAACCAAACCTCCAGTTGTCCTACCATCCCAAAGGCAGTCTTTGAGAAAAGTCATTTTCTGTGTTTCTGTAAGCGCATGTCCTTGTTGCAATCATGGTGAGCGGTAGTTTGTGTGGGGATTTTACACTAACGCGCACACTCATGCGTGTGCACACACGTGCTGCTCTTGCATGTGTGCTCCATACAGTAGTCACTCTGCTGTTGTTTTGTTGCTTGTAGAGCTTTCTGGGCTTCTGTGTAGCGTGTCGTTTCTCCTGTATTTCATGTAACTTTTTATAGAATATTCTCGGAATGGAATTGCTGAGTCAGAGTGCATGAACATGTTAAGGCTCTTGCTATAAATTACCAAGTTGCCTTCCAAAAAGATTGCAGCGTGTTATATACCTACCCGAAGAGTGTGGTAGTATCTATTTCACCACATCCTTTCCACGGCTTAAAAATATTTGCTAATTTAAAAGGTAATAAATGTTATCTCATTTTATTTGATTATGAGTTATATTTTCAAATATGTAATTACCACATAGTGTTTTTATATGTGCCTATAAATTCAATTGTAAATCCATGTCTTTCCCTGTTATCTGTGTATAGTGTTTTTCTTAAATGATTGTTAAATTCTCTGTCCCAAGAGTATGGACTGATGGCTGTGTTTACTATACACACCACAGAAGTAAGAGGGTAAACCACTGATCCCGTTTCTATTAGTAAAGTAAGATGTGGTGCCAGTTATAATACATCTCCTTTAAAATATATAACCAGAGGAAAGAAAGAAGTCTTCATGTTGTATTGTGTTATATTTTACCTGATGACAAGAAAGATAAATGATTTGTAAAGCTAATATCTTAACAGAAAGCTAGAATGTGGGATTGTTTTTCCCGCATAATCTTTAATTGACACAGACCATGGATGATAGTAAACTTTGTATAAACATATTAATGTAAACATTATCAATAGGTGTCCTCTTACAAATTATTTTAGTAAGCTTGATATAAAAGTGGCAAATGAAACAGATCAGAACCTGTGAATTCTACGTCCTTTTTAATCATGCCTTTTCCTTTGGAAAATGCTCACAAAACCCTAGGCCTGTTTTCCTTTCTGTGCCTTCAGGAAGTGATACACAAACAAGCAAGTAGCAAAATTCACATGTACTTACTTGAACATTAATACTGATTATAGTTTTCCAAAGATACTGAAATAAACATGATTATCTCAAGTGTTTTCACCCTCCCCTGTTCCAAGAACGTAGGCTGTTCTGCAGTCAGCTTCATCATTTGCTCTTCCAGTAATCCTATTTTGTTTTGGAATTTTTTTTTACCTTTCTAGCTATGCTATTGCAAACTTAATACATAGGATTGTGGCCTAGGATGGACCTCCATCAATAATTTGGTCTAATTCCGTTTCTACTGTTGAGCAGCAGCAAAATTCTCCCACTGAAACAGATGAGGTTTCCTCTTCTGTTACTCTGTTATTCTGTCAGTGTTATTCTAAGTGATTTTAGAAATAAGACTTAATAGTCCTTTCTAATATCAAACTCCAGTATCCGGAAATTCCTTGCTTCATTTAATTAAGCCTGGCTGGTAGGTTTTATTCGTTTCTCATATCTATTCTACACAGCTGCTAACAACTGTGACAGTCATTGTGAAATTATTTGTGGCTTAGTTTTCCCCAATGTTGCTCCATCCCAGGGCTACAATAAGGCGGTGGACTGGTGGGCATTGGGCGTGCTGATCTACGAGATGGCCGCTGGCTACCCCCCATTCTTTGCTGACCAGCCAATTCAGATTTATGAGAAGATTGTTTCCGGGAAGGTAAGAGATGCATCTAACTACTCCTTCCTCCGTGTTGCCTGTGGGTGAAGTTTCTCATGCTGTCCGGTTATTGCCCTAGCCTGGGGAAATAGAAACACTGTATCACTGTTCCTCTAGACTAGAGAGCTGTTGTATGAACATGTCAACAAGGTAATATGGCAGCTTCCATTTTCAAAATTGTGTTTTTGTTTATAAAAAAAAGTATTATGTGATAATTCCAAGTATTACTGTAAATCAGAATTATGATCTCATGTGAATTTGTTGTGTGGAGAACAGTTTTAGGGGCTGTTTTTATGTAACTGTTCTAAGTACAGACTTATTTGAATTACATCAAAATTAGAAGTAAAAATAATTTGGGTGGGCCTTTTCTAAAAAGACTTCACAGAATTGATTTTCACAGAATTGCTTATGTTAATGTTATAACATTATAATTGGGGCTGATTTTAGCAAACAGGAAATAACAATTATCCTTGACCATGAGTGGGCTGAGCACATAACAGTGTGGTAAATCATTCCATAAACTCTTCTTTTGTGTTTTCAGTCTCTAGTATTTCCTCCAAAAGTGTTTGCTTAAAGTCAGTCACTCTCCCCTTAGTTCATGTGTGGGATCTTTTCTGAAACTACTACAGTCAGTTTGAGTAGAGAAGGAAAGCAGAGCGGTTTTAGCCTTGGGCATTGGAGAAAGAGCTCTGCAGTAAAGATGGCTTCCCTAAGCCCGGGACCTGAGTTCACTCCCAGAGACTCACTTGTGGAAGAAGAAGTCAGCTCCTACAAGTTGTCCTCTGAGCGGCACTCATGTTCCCCTCCACCACATAAACACACACATGATTAATCTTACAGGACCAGGCATTCTGTGTGGGCTCTTATACCACATCCTTTACTCGTCCTTTTATTTCTGTGAAGAGTGCTGCCATGGGATGGACCATTGGCATTAGTTAACATTGCCCTGAGATGGATGCACTTGCTGTTTGGGCTGCTGTATTTTATGGTCTTTTTAGGCAGAAATAAATCAGCCCAGAGGTGAAGCCTCATCCTGTTTCTACCTCAGCCGGATCCACACTGCATTGCTGTAAAGCTGAGCTTAGCGTCCATGAGTTTAAATGTTAAATACTCACAAGGTACCATGAATATCCAATAACATAATAACATACCCTTTATGCTGGGATTCAACTGTAAATGGATTGCAGCCACAGTGAGGCTCTGAGAAAGTCTCTCATTAGTAGACTGTCTACCCAAGCACTGAGGATTGCTGCCTCCACACACCAGTGTCACACAAATCTCACAGAGCGTGCGCTATCCACAGCAGTCACTGCAGTTTACTGGCAGTTTACTACATTTTCTGCAGAAGTCTTGATATAAGATTAGTATTCACAAATTAGGGGGCTAACCATAGACATCAACCTTAGCTTTGTCACAGGTGAAAAGCAAGTACCTTTTTCAGGTAAACAGCCTGAGTGTAGTCTTCAAGGATGAACTGACAAAGGGAAGATGTAATACAATATTTATTCTGAGCGACAAAAATCTCTGTTCTTCTTGTTACACTTAAAAGTCTGTACTTCAGGTTTCTTACTGCTGTCGTTGTTTTCCCTCACAGAACATGAAAGTCACAGTAAAAACCTTTTATTACACACAAAATGAAATATGGAGAACAAGATAGTGGACAAGGATGTCCTATTGTTTCTAAGAACGTGGGGTTGGGGGGGTGGCTCAGCCATGAAGAGCATTTGCTGCGCTGGCAGAGACCCAGGGTTCGGTTCCCAGCACCCACACAGCAGGCAGCTCACCGTCTAGGGGAATCTGACACCATCTTCTGGCCTCTGCTGGCTTCTGCACACACATGGTACACATAAACTCATGCAGGTACACACACACACAATACAAATAATTAATAAAGAAAGAAATTTTCCAAAAGACTGTGAGAAATGAACACCTAAATTTCAAACCATAGTAAGAGCCAGAGGTCATATGAAGTCTTATGAGAAAACTGAAATAACATTAGAACTATAAGTAAGAGGAGAATATTTTATTACTGCAGAGTAGACATGTAGGCAGAACAGAAATTTAGAAATTATAGGAATGTTTCAAGTAATTTAACTGAGGTATTTAGAAAATTCCTGAACCTTTACTACACTACTTTTATTCTTCATAAAAGAAATCAAATTATAACAAAGATGCTACATAAGCTAAATTTCTGTTTACTTAGAACAATTGCATTAGTTGAAATGAATGTATCTACCTTGATATGAATTGACCTCAGTTTGTCAGTCATTCTCCCTTGGACAACATTTTCGCAGCTGTTTGCCAAATTTTAATATTTTGTATTTAATAACTGAGTATGTTCTAAGCTATAATAATTTAAAATAATAGTCACAGTTTTTAAAATAATAATAACATTTTTTTAAAAACAAAATATGTAACTGTAATAGGAATGATTTCCACCATTTATTTGAAAATATGACAGATGTTTGTTGCTTTTGTATTTAGCTGAAGGTGTCAGTTTCTCTCTCCATGTTGGATAGATTCTATCATTTGCCCACCCAAAACAAAATTCATCACATGAAATGTTGCGACTGTGTCATTTCCAGAATATGTGTTATGAGAAATACAAGTCATATTCCCAGTTCTCCCATAATATTCAGGTCCAAACAGAAAGATGTCTCTGTCCATACTGCAAGACTGGTATTGCCTTCATTAGTAGATAAAAGCTAAACTGGAAGTGTTAATTTTGATAGCTCATGTCATTAAAATCCAGTTTTAGTCATATATTTGAGGGCTCTGTATTTGTAGTTTTCAATTAATGTTTTCTGTACTCTTTATTTGGAAGGTAGAGGCAAGAGGTTCAGGAGTTTAAGACCAAACTGGGCTGCGTGGGACCATCTTAACAATAATAAAAAGATACAAAATTAATATTAAAATTATTAATTAATATTAAAATTAATAGCTTTGCCTGATCTTTTAAAAAGCTTACTATTTACTACGATAATATTCCATTCTGTTCTGAAACTCTGTTATAAAACAGGTTCAATGTTAAAATTAAAATAGAGTCATATGTGATGGCTCATGCCTATAATCCCAGCACTCAGGGAGGCAGAGACAGGCAGATCTCTATGAGTTCGAGGCCATCCTGGCCTATAGAGCAAGTCTAGGACAACCAAGGCTACACCGAGAAACCCTGTCTTGAAAGAAAAAAATTATTTGAATTTTCAAAAAAGTTAAGTGATTCATTCACTTATGAACATACATTTGAATATTAGATTGTGAAGAATTTCTCTATTACAATATCTTAACCCAAACTGGTATTTTTAAGTGCACAGAAAGATGGTTAGTAAGCTTTTAGACTCTCTCCTGCATATATTTTTCTTTTGAGAAACAGGGGAGGCATTTAAATGTCAGATTATTCATGACTGTTAGTGTTCAGGCTTGGAAATGCACAGTCGACAGAAAGGATTTACAGTCCTGTGGTTACCATGCCCTCCCTAGCATGTATGCGCTGGGTTCCTGTACATAGTCTTTACATTTCATACCTGCGTGCCAACAATAGAAAATGAGAATCAGGTATGGTTTCCACAGCAACTCTATCTGGCTGTGTTGCTGATGAAACTACAAAAATCAATATTTTTGTTCAAAAATGGTATGTAAAGACAGAGTAATCAAGTAACAGCAGATGCAGACAACATAATTTTAGAGTCTTTGACTTATGTAATTTGAAAAATGTCTTAGCTTCACTCTATATCATGTAAATGTCATTCCATTCTCGATGAGCATCAAGAAGATACTATAGAAAATGTAGGAGCATAAGCCTCACTCTGTACTGTCAAAGAGTTTATTAATTTTTGCTGAAGGGAAATCAGCATTCACATGAAGGATAACTGATTAGTAGCCCAAAGGTCATTGCCTTCTGTGTCAGGATCCAAGTCTATCTCCAGGTTTGGTGAATCTGAGAGGACTCAGAAGGCCCAGCACACCTGGTAATTGGGCTTAGGCTTGTTACAGCCAAAGGATAGAAAGCCAGACCAGCACAGGGAAAAGGCAGTCCAGGCAAGTCCACAGAAGAGCAGGCACGGGCCTTCAGGAGCCTCCCTCTGCAGCCGCAGAGACTCCTTTAACTGCCTCGACATGAATTCACCAATGTAAAGTGTTATGTGTCAGTGAAAGCCATGAGAAACTCAGGGCGCAGGATTTTTACTGGCACCCTGGACTTAGCACATACGAAAGCCCCAGACTCTCAGAATGAAGCACACTTTCAGTTACACCGTGGGTCTGTAGCAGATCTGTGCACAGTGAACCACACTTACTGTTCAAGGAAAGTTTCAGACACTGTAAGAAACTGGCAACACTCAAGGTCCCAGATCCCTGACAAACACGGAGCTTGGAAGCAGCCATCTCTACTGCTGGCAGTCTCCGGCCTACATGCTGACTTTTCTACATACATCCTGCCTTCTAACCAATAAATACATATGCAAAACAGTACAGCATTATTTCTAAGAGATCATTGTTACTGCTTTCTTAGGAAACTAAAATGCCATTTTCTACTTGGCTTTGACTAAACTTTGTTAAACTGACCTAGAAGTATTCAGTTGCTATCTTCTTTTCACTGGCTCTCCTGTATTGAAGGCTGGCCTCAAGCCCACTGTATAGCCAAACAAAACTCTGAACTTCTAGTCCTCAGGTCTCCACCTCCCAAGTGCTTTTGCAGGGAAGACAGCTTTATGTGTTGGTGTTGAAGATGGGCTTCGTGCATTGTAGATAAGCACTGCGCTAGCTGAGCCACATCCCCGGGGCCCGAAATGTCCTGTTCCTGACGTGTAAAGCAGTTGTGCTGTTTTATATGCCCCCCCCCCAGGGCCATTTTCTAAATACTTTGTTCTAGTGGTTTAATAATCTTATCAACACTTGCTTCCATATAGGCTTTCACTGATCTAGTGAGCAGATGGTTTTAACACTGACCACTTTTGAGGGAGGAAGAGAAATGAGAAAGAAGTGAACAGTAGCCCTCTGCACCCATCTAAATTTGTTCTCTTTCCCTTAGAGACACCATAAGCATATTTATAATATTTGTAACTATATTTTAATGCCCCAGTTCTCTTTTCACTTAGGGAATGCAGGCTGACTAATGTTCCCCGGGCAGGTAGTGTGAATGTTGACACATCTATAGAAAGCCCAGTGTATGAAAATGTAATGTAAGGAATGTACAGCAATATTTTCCTGCTGGAGAAATCCTTTACTGAGGTTGCCGTGGCTCACTTAGAGAAGTGGTTTCTTCACATGGCTCCCAGTAGGCTGTGTCCAGAAGTTAACAGAGCACCACCAATACAGTGTACAAACTCTTTTTGAGCCACTTAAGTTTGTTCCAGTGCATAAAAAAATCTTACTAGTTATATAATCTTTCCCTGTGCCAGTAACTGTAGAATTTTATCAAGACACTCCCTCCGTCAGCCAGAAATCAATTTTATAACTTCTGTAATTAAACTCTGTGAAGGCAAATTTGATTCAGACTTATTTTATTGCTAAATGGAAGAGGCAGGTCAGTGAGACCAGTTAGTGGATTTAAATTATGGATACCGTAACAGCATGCATTGATTTGCTTTTTGAATATTATGTCACTTTTGAGAGATGAACTTATAAATTTACATATATAGAAAGTAATAGTTACTCCAAAATTGAAATACATGAGCCTGTAATTGGTGCCGAAAGCACAAGAGTCTGTCCGCTCTGCTCAGCTTGGGCCGAGTTCCCCATGTTACATAATGTAATTTGAGCAAGTCATTTAGGATGTCAGCTGTAGGCACAGTGCTGTTCCTATAAAACAAGGTAAGGTCATCCATTCTCTCCCTTCTAGCAAAATTTCGACATACAACTATTTGGGAATTCTGGCAACATTAAATTATGACTTTCTGTCTTTCAGGCTCCTTCCTTGTTAAAGTGCTTATCTAATAGAAAGGCCGGAAAAAAATGGGAAATGCACTACTATTGAGCATAATAAAATAAAAGCCATCTTCATAAATGTTATGTGATTTCTTATACTGTCAAGTAAAATATATTCCCTCATATTATAATTGGACAAATTGAGATTGAAGAAGGTAAAGGGGTTTTTCATAGGTCACGGAGTACATATATAATTCAAGTTGATATTGAAAATCAGGCTATTTCTCCTGAGGAGGTAGTCTGGCCGGAAGTGCTGGTAGGTGTCTGTCACCCTCGCTGCTCGGGAGCTTGAGGCAAGATGATCACTGGCCCCCAGGGTGTGAGTCCAGTCTAAGCAACACTACAAGAGCCTCCCTGAGGTCAGGGATGGAGAGCATAAAATAGCTTGATAGCGTGTGTGACTCCTGACTCCATCCCCAGCACACAGCGGAATATTTTAGCTCTACCCTTGAATATACTTTCTACCATCTCCACTGCCACCTCTGTCATCTCACCTGAGCTGCTAGAGCAATTGGTTCTTTGAAAATATGTTTCATCCTTCCATCACTGTGATGAAGGATGCAGCTGCAGTCAGCTGTTCTAATCAGGCTCCATGTTCTTCAGGTGCTGGATTCAGTCTCCAGACCCAAAAACAAGATGATTTAAAAAAAGTAAAAAACTTTTCATTCATTTTTCCTTATTTTTCAGAGTAAAAGTCGAAGATCTTACATTGTTTTGTGAGGAATGATGGTCACATTTTTTGATCATTGTGGCCGCTGTCATTATTTATCACGTGTCTTTCTTGGTAGAAACAGAAACTCTGTGAAGGCAGGTCTCTGTCTTACTTCGTTTTCTGTATGTCCCAAGCATATCAGTGCATAGCACATAATAGGTTTAAATCGAGTGGATTTGAATCCAAGCACTTATTCAGTATTCACTAAGGTCAGTGCACATGGTTAGAGCAGGTCAACATTTGCGGTACAGCTAGTCACCTATGGCTCTCTGAAACACGATGTGGTTTCTATCTTTGGTGCCCATCCTGGAGGCACCGACTCGGAGTTCTTCTCTGGATTTCAGCATGGCTCACAGCTCTGATACTCATCATACATACAAATATGTAGCTCACTCAAGAAATGATCCCACCTAAGGAAGGCATGATTAGGAAACCCAGAATCAACATGGTCTTAAAAGGCTGGAAAAGAATCACAGGCAATTAAATTAAGGAAAATAGAAGCAAATACTCAAGGTGGCACATGTCACACTGCAGACACATTTTCCATGCCCAGTTTACAATAACCTCTTCTTTTAGTCTCACTGTTCTTGTGGGTATAGACTTTCTCATCTTAGCCTCTGGCTTTCTAAAACTTTGTCAGCGTTATCTACCCTATTGCATAGTGGCAGAAGGCTCATAAATACGCAAGTCAGAGGACTGAATTATTTCCTCAACAAACCCAGTGACCAGGCTTTGATGTCACAGGAGCTCAAGCCCCCGTCTCTAATGCAGGCTCTCACCAGCTCCAATATTCCGTACTTATGATTTCACTTTCTAAAGTGTTCACACTGATAATAGTGACAAAAGTAATTCCCTTCTTGATAACAGTTTTGAAGGAAAAATGAGTCACTCTTCCCATCGTAACCTGTTGTTGGATGCAGGTTATCGAGCCACTGTTAACATGGACCACAGAAGATGCCGACATTCTGTTGGCCTCTTTGAAGAGGAGGGTGTGCTGTGGCAGTGGAGGTGCATCTGTAATGGATAGCTCCCTATGGCTTAGTGTCACAGACTGCCACCACTGCCCATGTGAGAGTCGCTGTTAGGAAATCTAAGCATATACATGTACATTTGCCTATATTGACTAATGAAGACCATCACTTTGTTTGCAGTACAGAAAAAGGACAGCTTTATTGGGGTGCTTATATTGTTCATGCAGTATATTGCTCATTACCTGAATCCACAAAATAACTTCTGTGCAGACATTACTGTCTGCAGCTGGGAGCATCGTGGATGGGCTCACTGGTGCTTTGCCTCTCTACACTTCATGCACATTCTACTCTAGGCCAAGTCAGAGCCACTTAAAGTAAGGCATTTCTTTATCTAAACAAAGTTTAGATGCACCTCAAGAAAAATCCAACCCAGTGTACCACCGGAGAGAAAATGCTATTTGTTCTTAATGGCAGGTATTCACTGTACAAAGTGATGGACCTCAGAAAGACAGTTTTCATGGTATCATGTTTTTGAACCGTATTTTGCACCTCTTGCCTTTGTTTTTCTCCTAATCTCCTTTCTCTTGTCTCGTGTGTGTGTGTGTGTGTGTGTGTGTGTGTGTGTGTGTGTGTGTGTG